CTTCTTTCTCCCTCTCCTTCCTCCTCTCACCCCTTCCCTTGCCTTTTGGTCTCCTCTACCTGGTGGTGGTGGTGGTGTCGGTGCAGCTGCGGTTGCAGGCAGCAAGGTTGTCCCTGCACCACCAGAGAGTGGCCAGTCAGAGCCTGAGCCACCTGACGTGGAAGGCGGAGCAGAGGCTGCGGGTAATACACTTCTCCTCGGAGCACAGCCAGCCCAGGGCTGGAGTGTGGGGCAGAGCTGGGCTGGGAGGCAGGACCCTGTGCCTACACACAAGCTTCTGGGCCCGCTGAGAGGGGACTAGGTCTTGTGCCATGAGGTCTATCAGCTTTAAAAAGCTGTGCAGGCAGCGGGGCTAAGTAGCCTGTGTTGAGTTGCCAGGGAAGCCTAGCCTGGTGCCCAGGGCTTCCTGAACCTGAGCAGCCGCTTCTCCCACCCCAACCACTGCTCGTGTCCCTGTGAAAACACGTTTCAGTCGCCTCCCAGGTTCCTTGGTGCTTGACTGCCCTGTCGGGAATCCTCCTTCCTCCAGCCGTCTGTCTATGACATCCTTCTGATGGTCTAGGTATCTACAGGATTGTGGAATTGGAATCGGAGGTGGCTGAGGCTGGGGGCGGTGGTGAAGCACATTAGCAGTTTCAGGTGGGGCAGGTGAAAGAGGCTAGTGCCTGTTCTTTTTAAAAGAGCCAGAAACCACAAGTCATCTCTTGAGCCCACCTCCTTGGTTCCCAGATGAAAGACACGGCCCAGCCCTCTGCCTCCCCTTAGTACCCACCATTACACAGCTTCCCTGCCTGTCAGGCTGAGCAACACTGCCACCTAAGAAAGCTCTAGAAGGAAAGGCTTAGGAAACTGGTTGCCAGGGCAAGACCAGCCTGCATGGGGAACTCTTGAGGGAGTGGGGAATGACTGAGATTGTATTTGCTTCCTAATTTTCTTCTCTTGCTATGGGGCACAGGAAACTGTTTTTATGTCAGCATGCCAGCAGGACCCCAGGACTCCAGCACTGACCTTTCAGGGGTACCCACCAGCCCCTCCCAACCTGACAGCCTCCCTACCTGGCAGACGGAACCTCGGCCCCGACTGCGGGGAGGCAGTGAAGATCAAAGACGCCCCAGCCGCTCTTCCCCCAGCCTGGCCCTCAGGGATGTGGGCATGATCTTCCGTACCATCGAGCAGCTCACTCTCAAGCTCAACAGGCTTAAGGTGAGGGATGGCGTCCATCACCCAAGGTCATTCCCTATGAACCACTGTGTTTTGCTGTGTCCAGCCAGCCACCTTTCACCACCAGCCCAGCCCCAGAGCTCAGCACAGGGTCCTTGTGATGAGAAGGACTTGAGCCATCCACAGCCCCTCTTCCAGGACATGGAGCTGGCCCACAGAGAGCTGCTGCAGTCCCTCGGTGGAGAGTCATCTGGTGGCACAACACCTGTGGGCAACTTCCACACAGAGGCAGTGAGGTGGACAGACAGCAGCACCCTTTCACCCCCAGCCAAGGAGCCCCTGGTTTGTGATTCCCGGGACAGCCACGAACTCGGGCCTTGCCCTCAGGATGGTGAGTGTGTTCCCTCTACCCACCCGAGAGAGGCCATAGGCAGCGGGAGGAGGCGAAGGTGGTTAGACCCCCTTGTGTGTAACTGAACCTTTACCTGCACTGCAGGAAGGAACACTCACCTGAAAATGGGAAACTTAGAACTGAACTCTCTTTCTTCCTTGGGCCATGGAGATCATAAATGGGCTGAGACCCCTTCTTATGAAACGGCCAGAACTAAATTGGTTGGGCAGGAAGAAAAGAGGCTTTGATGTCTAGCAGAATAAAAGTGGAGTTCAGTATACAGCCCTTTTCAGGTCCCATGAGAAGCTCTAGAATCTCAGGGCAGGAGAGTCCCTTGGCACCAAGGCTGGTGCTGAAGGAGCTGCCCTTATGAGCTTCAGGACTTCCCAGGCAAAGCTTGTGAGACGGCTCAGCCTCAGCGGCCATCACTTCTTCCTGTCCCCTTCCCTCCGCAGGCTCTGAGACCCCGCCACCGGAAGACAGAGCGGCAGCCACAGCCACCTCACCAGGACTGTAACCAACCAAACCACCAAATCCTCCGAGTCCCCATCCTCCCTCAGAGCTGGCCTGAGGCAGGGGCACAGGGTGGGGAGTCCCCAGACCCCCCTCTCCATGACAGAGGCTGTCATGGAACTGGGATCCAGCCAAGGCCTAGGAGGGAGGCCCGCATGTTGCTTGGTCTGCTCTGATCAGAGTCAAGTTTCAGTGTCTTTTCCCCTCCCTTCAGCCCAATCCCCCAAGGCCTGGTGTCTCCTAAGCATGCTGAGGGCATCTAAATGGCCTTCACTCACAAGTCTGCCTCCCCCCACCCTATGTGCGTGTTCACTTCTCTCGTGTGGGGGCGGGGGACCTCAGACATGCAAGCTAGAGGAGGAGTCTTCTGTGTAAATGCACTTTCTTCCTCCCCTTCCTTCTCCACAGGACCCCAAGACTGAGGGGGGCCTCCACTCCTTTGTCACTTTGGTTTCCTATAAATATGTATGTATTGTATGTGCATCTTTGCTATTGTAAATGACTTCCGCCTTTTTTTGTTTCTGTTCCTGGGTTATTGGAAGCAGTTACACAAAGGACTGCTAAGGGAAGAGTGGGCTCACTGGCTTTCCTAGTTAAGAGCCCCCTGCCTAGATCCCTGGCCCAGGGCGCAACCTATGGGCTTGGTGCTGAGCTGCCCCCTTCTTCCTAGAGCTTCTTGTCTTCCGAAATGGGACAAGGGGAGTTTCTTACTCACCTGTGTCCACTCTTTTCTCCCCTGGCCCTATCAAAAACCAGTGTATCAGGTACGGAGCTGAGAACTGGGTCCCAGGAGGGTAGGGGGCAGGAGAGGTGAATGCTGGAGTCCCTAAATTAACCCCGGACCATCCCCAGGGCCCACAGCGTTGGCCCCTATTACCATATCCTTTCTTCTCTCGCCACTGACTAATAGAATATACACACTGTGCTAGGTGTATATATACGTATATATATATATATATATAAATATATATATAATATATAAAATATAGATATGGAAATGACTGTTTTGCTGTTAAGATAATGTATACTCATTTTCTTCCTTTCATGGTTTTTTGTTTTTGTTTTGTTTTGTTTTTTAAGAAAAGTTAAATATTCTTCAACTGTGGTGGTTTGTGTGATTCTTGAAACTGCTGTAAAAGATAACTATGGTCTTTTTTTCCTGTGGGGATGGTTAGAATTGAATAGGAAGAACAGAAGGAACCCACCAGCACCAACACCTCTCTCTCCTGGATCAAGCCCCCACACCCAGATCTTGCCATATTCTTTCCCGGAGCTTCGTGGGAGTGCTCACTCAACTGGGGACCTGACAAGCTTGTTATGTTGATAGCCCTTACAACAAAATGAGAGAAGATACTGAGTAATTTCATTTACGCACACACAGAGTGTGGATCTGAGTCAAGACAGTGCGTGAGCTGCCCTTGTGAGCTTTAGGCAAAACACAAAGGGAGGAACCAGCTTCATGGGCCCCCAGTCATCCTGTTCCAGCCTGTTCTTCCTCAGGCTCTTGCTCCCCCTGAAAACAGTCAACAGCCACATCACCAGGACTATAACCCATCTGGTCGTATCGCCTCAGTCTATCTTCATTATTGGATTAGGTGACAATCATTTTCAGTCCTAAATGCTTAGTATTCTAACTCAGCCGTAGCATAAGTTGTGGCTCTCCTGAATCTAGTCTAGCTGGGCATCAGAGTGAGTCTACAAGTCATTGATGAAGAACTGTAGGGATAAGGAGAGAGAGGGCTGTAAAGACTCAGCTTTAGAGCGACTTGGGCAGGGATAATGGGCTAAGCCATTATCACACATCTGCAATGTGCTTCAGTGTTGGGATGAGATAAGTTTTCTCCCAAGATGCTCACCAGCCAGCTGCAGAAAGGCTGGGGCACAGCTCAAGCAGTGATCTGAGTGCAAGGGTGAAAGGCTGAAAAGCCTGTGGGAGCAACAGCCTGAGACAGGAGGACACTAGGGAGTTTCTGGGTAGGATGCAAGGCTCCAGAATGAGGGAAGTTAGAGCTTCCCAATAGTGAAGAGGCAGACAAGGCCCCTGTTTACCTTCACCTTTTCTGGCATCTCTTAAGAGCCAAAGCCCGAGCTCTCCAGCTGTTTCAGTGGAGGCAGCACTGAGGGATAGCAATGCAGGAGTCGGGGGGGGGGGG